TGGTTATACTGTGGTGTAACCTCTGACAACGAGCTAATTTCTCGATCGGACTGTACCTTTCCGTCCCCACTCTCGACCACCCTATAAGCCAGACAATGACAAACGCCACTCGACGATGCTCTCTCTCGGTACACACGGCTCGGCTCTAGCGCGCGTTCCAGTTAGTATATATTTCAGTGGTCCTATCTTCTATTTTAAGCCAACGGCACACGATACGATTTTTCCCACTGGATTACTTACGAGAGCCAATCGGGATTCAGCTTTGAGTCACCTGATCGAAAACTGTGCATCCTGATTGGCTCTCGTAAGCAATCCAGTAGGAAAAATAGTATCGTGTGCCGTTGGCTTTAGTGTCTCTAGAAGATCGTGTAAAATCGGGCAGCTCTCAGATGTTTCTCCGATTGTACTGTTAGAGGTTATACAATACGGTTTTCAGTGGTTTTTATTTATTATCTTTTGTGTGACAAAATGGTGATGATTTGTTGCGTCTGCAAGGTGGAAGAGGTGTCAATCAACTCGCATCTTGTTTTTCACCAGTATGAAAGTATTACAAGCAAAGTATAGTTTTTCATTCCTTTATTTTTCATAATGTAATACTTATGTTTTTAGTTTGCCCAAAAATCCAGACCGACGAAAACAATGGTTGGAAGTATTAAAGAAGGGTAATGTTAAAGATCTTGTTGTATGTAGCAAACATTTTAAACCTGACGATTATCGGGAGTTCTGCGACAGGCCACTGCTAAACAAAAATGCTATTCCACGGTTAAGCGAATTGAATACGTGTACACAATCCACTGAAAAGGATCCAATGTCAGTATCCGTAAATTCAACATTATGAAGTATAAATCTTTTTTTTTATTGTTTAAAAACTTTGTTTTTGTATTATTTAGAAATGTCCAAGACTCTACGATTGAAATGGATTGTCACGAGAAAACAATAGAATCTGCTAGTATTGACAATATGAATGACAGTCGAAACATTGTGATAGTAGAAGTAAAACCTGAACATGAACATGAACCTGAACGACTTACTGAATGTCCTTTAGAAACAATAGATAAAACTAGGAAAAATTGTAAAAGGTTACATATAAAATATATAATATATATTAGCTTATTTAATAATCTTCTCTTTAATCGTTACATCACGCTAATAATCTTTTCTAGGCGAAATAATATCGATTGTAATGGATCTAGTGCACTATCAAAAAAACGCTGTTACCTGAAGAATTTTGGTATTTTTAGAAAAGAAGATTTTAAAACCGAGGAATCGTGGAATCGATTTTTGGCAGCATTTGAAGATATGAGAAAAGATAAACTATTGTTACAACGCAAGAATGAACGCCTATTTACAAAAGTTCAAAAGTTCAAAGGTGTAATTAAAGACTTGAAAAGAAAGAAATTGGCGACAGATTCTGTTATTGATATCTTAAATGTAAGTTTAAAAAGTGATTAGGTATCTTAGAGCTCTGTAGATATTCTTCATATTTGTTACCTTTAATAAATTAATTTTCATAATATCTTCTATGTCAATCGGCATTGACCTTTCCACCTTGTTCTTAATATTTATAAATTTGATGCATTACAATTTCTTTAAAAATTATAAAAAGCAATGAAATCGCTAAAAGGGTTACATACTAAATACATTAAAAATATTTAAAAATGTATGCATTATTAAATAAAAATTTAACAGTTTGAAAAAGAAGATAAATTATCAATATAATTAGACGACTATTGAGACAAATGTAGATCGAAAAAGTAACATTTCAAGATACTACATACGTTTAACTAATAGAATTCTATTTGTCTGTAGTCATTTGTGATTTTATATAAATTCCAAGTTCAATCCCTTATAGAAATGTAAGCGAAATAATTAATAAAAAATTGCTGTACATCAGTAATTTCGAATGATGATTCAATTACTGAACTCTATTATAAATTAACGTAATTATTCAGAGCATTTTTCGTTCCCAGTTATTACACAATTCTGTAAGGGATAAAACAGACCTTAAGTTAGAATAAAACTTTGACGTACGCGGGGTGTGTTTAAGGTTGTTAAATCCATTATGAGCCAATTTAATAACTACGGTATTCTACCAGATTCAAAACTTTCTTCCTTTCGATCATAATAATTATTTAAATATGGGCCTATTTCGTTGCTCTATATACATTTTTATCAATTTCTTCTGATATATATATATATATATATACACATACACTAGAAATTGTAGTTTAAGTTTGAAAAAGACTCATATTTAATTGATCGAAAGATTTTCGATCGGGTAGTATACTAAACCCATACAGCACGCCGGTCTAAAGAAACATTTTTAAGACGCCTTTAAGATGTCTTTTCGACATGCGTGCTGTATGGGAGGCGTGTTAAGTCGATAGTCGAAAGTCTCGAAGTATTGTTGTCGCTTCTCCGAGATACCGATTGGCTGTCTCGCTTGAGCGATACGACATGATTCAGGCCGCGGTCAAGCTGCCGCTACAAATACTTCGAAGTATTCTTCTACTCCTCTCTTTCCATAAAGATAGAAGAAGAAAGAAACACTTCGAAGCATTTGTAGCGGCAGCTTGACCGCAGCTTCAGTCGTATTATTTGCAGCTGTCAAACCATGCGAATTTTCAGAGAAAGCAAACGGCGCGCGCGAAGCGCGCGCTTGTGTTGTCTAGGAGCATATTAATCACGTGTACTCTAAATGTGTGAATGTCGGGACACCCTGTTACTTATATATAATACAAGTATGAATATGTATATATGTATACATTAAAACGACAGAAAGGGAGAAACGTTTCTCACTATCATTGACTACGTTCACACAGCAACTTATAAGCCGGTTTAATAAATGATATCGTTCCTATCTCTATTGTGCCGTTGAACAAGTGGAAGTTACATAAGTCATTAAAATTGATCAACACGTCGAGTAGACTCGATGACTAAGCAAGTAACACAGCTAGTATTTATCAATTGCCTCATTTCATATATTATATTAACAAAATCTCTATTAACTAATCATTTCATTTGTACATTGTAAATGATAATGTAATGCATCACAAATAAATCTTATTGTATATTTCAATCATCTTTGAAAGCATCTGAATATTTTGATAGTTAAAATGCGATATTACTTCTACGAATGTAACTATGTCATAGAATTACGTGTTTTACACAAGATATTTCACGTTTCTCTCTTCTGTAAGCCAATCCAAAAGCCGTTAACAGGTTGCAATGTAAAATCTTTGGAATATACAATTGGTTCGACAGTCTTTTCGATAGATTTCAAAGTAAACTTCTGTAAAAGATGAGCTAGCAGAATTTTGGTCTCCATAAGAGCAAATCGATTGCCGATACACTTTCTAGGCCCGTGACCAAATGGTAGATAAGTATATGGTAAAATATTGTCCTTGTTCTCCTCGCTGAATCTTTCGGGATCGAATTTATCCGGGTTCGGAAAGTATGCTGGATCGTGATGTAAAGCATAAACGGGAAATATCAATGCGTTGTCAGGTTCGATGATTACACTTTTGCCGCCTGGTTGTGACGGAGGCAATTCGTATTTCTTAGTACAAAGCCTATCTATGAAGACAACCGGTGGATACTTTCTGAGAGCTTCAGAAATTACCATATCCATGTAAGACATCTTCGACAGCGACTCGTAAGAAATCTCACCGTTCCCCTCGGCAAGATGCTGCTGTATCTCCTCGTACAGACGTTCTTGAATCTCTCTGTTAACCGCCAGTTCGTGAGCGGCGAAACACATGAGAGTTGAGGATGTGTCGAAACCAGCCAAGAAGAAAATAAAAGCTTGCGAAACCATGTCGTCCAATGTCATTTTGGATACACCGGCACTGTCCTTGTCCCGAGCCTGCATTAGCAAATGAATCATATCCGGTCGGATAATATTTTGCTTTTGTCGTGCTCTAACGGTTTCCTCTACGATCTTCTTGAAAAATGTGGCTGTGGCTGACGGGAAAAACGTCAGACCTGTTAATTTAGCGATCCACGGACACACACGAAAAATTACGAACTTAACCGTCGTTAGGAATCCAGAAGAAAAGTTGGCAGCCTCTATTCCTCTCATATAAAACTCATTGTCTCGATCCTTCATGGAATTCACGCTTATGCCAAATGCTGCTGTAGCAATGACGTCGTTAGTGTACCGTCTGAAAACTTCCTTCGTTTCGATCGTATCGCAGAGTTCAGGATGGTCGACCAAATAATTGACGAAATCATGAGAACATTTTGACACCAAATCGAACATAAACTTCATTTTGCTAGCAGTAAAAGAGGGGCTTAGCGTATTCCTCATTTCTTTCCAACGATTTCCGCGCAAGGCGAAGACGTTCTTGCCAAAGAGAGGCTCTACGCTTTCGTCAACGAAGATTTGATGATCCTGGAAGTGTTCAAAATCCTTCACCATGACGTCCTTAATCAGCTCGGGATCGCGCAAAAGTACAGAAGGCGTGGCAATGTCCATCATTCCGACGTATTTGGCATTTGAGAATGAATTGTATAGATGTCGGGAATAATCGACCATGGTGATGTAGCCCAAAAACATCTTCCACTCCATTATGAAAGAAAACAGCGAATTTGGCAGGTAGGGTAGGCCTTTATTTTTCCAGTGAGTATAATTGCGACGCAGAACAGAGATGATTTTCAGCACGCCGATGACGACCAGAGTGGTCAGTAGTAGCACAAAGGTCGAAGCCATCGTGATGATCAGATAACAGATTAATGAGATGTTTCGTCAGACACTGCATAGAACGTTATGAATAGGATGTACGTGTAACGCTCTCTGCGGACATACGTATATGTACATCAATGATGGGAGAGGGGAGATGTTTCTCTCCTTATCATGAAAAAAGCAGAGATAGGAGGAGAGAAACATTTCTCACTATCATCGAGATAATACATGTTGTATCAGTGATTACATAAGATATATTGTTCGATTTAAATGTGTAGCACGATGTTTTTTGATATCATGGTTTCTATAAAAAGATGTTACATGTGTGGGAGGAATGTAGGAGGTGGAAGAACGGATGGAGCTGGCAGGAGGAGGCGGGAAGAATTCTGGAAGAGGAGGGAGAGGGGGAAGAGTGGCTGAGAGAGAGCTGGAGAGAGAAAAAGAAGCGCTTGGGGGAGGAAGAGTGTGAGAGAGGGAGAGAGAGAGAGAAAGGAGGGTGGAAGGGGGAGGGAGAGAAACTTAAAAACTCATTCAATTTACAGACTCTGCACGGAGAAAATAATTTGCTAGCATAGTACATTTTATTTATGCTGCCTCAAGTCAGTTATGTCAGTTATTATATGGACAGCAATATTAAGTAATTAAATAATTTTTCACAATTAGCAAATTATTAAACTATAAGAATAAAATTATTTCTGTTCTACCAAATATCTTCTGCTGTAACATCGAATAGCTTTAGTAAATTATAATATAGAAATTTTGTTGTCATATCAAATATGCAATATAAGTAGTTGACTTTTTTTCTTCATAAAGTTACAGTATTAAGAAAACATTATCGTGCGCATTTTTCTTATTTTGTAGATCGACTAGCTTGTCTTATACGATACACTATCATTGTAATAATAGTGAGAAACGTTTCTTCCTTTCTATCATCGTTTTTCTACATACATACATGTATATAAAAGTACATATAAAATTCAATGTTTTTTATTTATTCCGATTGTTTTGTGAAAAAATATAAACATTGAAATAATTTTCCGTATTTTTTCCGTAGAAATTCTTTTAAGGTATTATAAGATACTATAATTTTTAAGATATTACAAATTTTATGATTAAAATGTAAATGCACATATAATACGAATTTCGTATGTGTATTGCATAAACTGATAACGATATTATTATATTTTCTAAAAAAAATGTGATTGACGATCCTACGATAAAAATATTCGCTTTTATAAGGAATTAATGATATCGTCCTTATCTCAACTGTGCTATTGGACAACAAATGGAAATTATATAAGTCATTAAAAATGATCAATACGTCGTGTAGAGAATCTAAGCAAATAACAATGTTTATCAATTTCTACATTTCTTATTGGCAAAATCTCTATTAACTAATCATTTCATTTGTACATTGTAAATGATAATGTAATGCATCACAAATAAATCTCATTGTACATATATTTCAATCATTTTTAAAGGCACTGAATACGTTGATAGTTAAAAACACGATATTACTTCTACGAATACAACTATATCGTAGAATTATGTCATACAAAATTTTTCATGTTTCTCTCTTCTCCAAGCCAATCCAGAATCCGCCAATAGGTTGCAATCTAAACGCCTTTTTAGAATACACAACTGGTTCGACAGTTTTTTCTACAGTTCTTAAAGTAAATCTCTGTAAAAGATGAGCTATCAGAATCTTAGTCTCCATAAGAGCAAATCGATTGCCGAGGCACTTTCTAGGCCCGTGACCAAACGGTAGATAAGTATATGGTAAAATATTGTCCTTATTCTCCTTGCTGAATCTTTCGGGGTCGAATTTATCCGGGTTCGGAAAATATGCTGGATCGTGGTGTAAAGCATAAACGGGAAACATCAACTTAGTGTTAGGTTCGACGATTACACTTTTGCCGCCTGGTTGTGATGGAGGCAGTTCATATTTCTTCGCGCAAAGTCTATCTATGAAGATCACCGGTGGATATTTTCTGAGAGTCTCGGAAACCACCATGTCCATGTAAGACATCTTCGATAGCGACTCGTAAGAAATCTCACCGTTTCCTTCTGCAAAATGCTGCTGTATTTCCTCGCGCAGACAATCTTGAATGTTTTGATTGACAGCTAGTTCGTGCACAACAAAGCACATCAGGGTTGAGGAAATGTCAAAGCCAGCCAAGAAAAACAGGAAAGCTTGCGAAACGATGTCATCTAATGACATTTTGGATACACTATTCTTGTCCCGAGCCTGCATTAGCAAATGAATCATATCCGGTCGAATGATATCTTGCTTTTCTCGCACTCTAACGGTTTCCCTTACGATATTCTTGAAAAACTTGGACGTAGCTGACGGGAAAAAAGTCAGGCCTATTAATTTAGCAAACCACGGACACGCACGTAAAAACATGACTTTAGCCGCAGCTAGTATTCCAGAAGAAGATTTAGTAGTCTCTATTCCTTTTATGTAAAATTCGTTGTCTGGATCTTTCATAGAATTCACACTAATGCCAAATGCTGCCGTAGCAATAACGTCATTAGTGTACCGTCTAAAGGCTTCCTTCGTTTCGATGGCATGGCAGAGCTTAGGATGATCGACCAAATAATTGACGAAGTCGCGAGAACATTCCGATATCAAACTGAACATGAATTTCATTTTGCTGACAGTGAAAGTGGGGCTCAGTGTATTCCTCATTTCTTTCCAACGATTTCCGCGCAAGGCGAAGACGTTCTTGCCAAAGAGAGGTTCTGCGTTTACATCAACGAAGCTGTGATGATCCGGGAAATATTCAAAATCCTTCACCATGACGTCTCTAATCAGCTCGGGATCGCGCAAAAGTATGGTAGGCGTAGCTAAATCCATCATTCCAACATATTTAGCCCTTGAGAAGTAATAGTATATATGTTGGCAATAATCGGCGACGGTGATGTAGCCCAAAGAAAATTTCCAGTTCAGTATAAGAGACGATAACGAGTTTGGCAGGTAAGGTAGGCCCTTATTCTTCCAATAAAAATATATGTGATGCAAAACAGAGACAATTTTCAGAACGCCGGTGACGACCAGAGTAGTCAGTAATAGCACAAAGGATGAAACCATTGTTATATGATGGGATAACAGACTAACAAGTTGCTTTGTCGTATGTGACGTAGAACGTTATGAATGCATATGCGTAGCTCTCTTTGGATGTAACACGTCGACGAAAACAATGATAGGAAGGGAGGATAGCGTTTTCATTTATCGTGAAGATAGCAGAGATAAGAGAGGTAAGATCTTTCGTACTATCAATACGCTGATACAGTTCGTACAGGTATCAATGATTATACATAGCAATATATCAGTGATCATATCAGTGATTGTGACGCAAGATAAGTTCGATTTTTATTTGATTTTTCTTTTAACCAAAGTTGTACGAACATTCGCATAGGGCTGCTCCGTTTAAATGGCTCTAGGGGGCCGTCAATGTTCCATTGTATTGAAGTTGAGTCATTCCATAAATTTAGAGTTGTAATAACAGGTGATAGCCGGAAATAGAAAGTTAGGAGAATGACTTGAATAATTCTCACTAGATAACATCAATTTTTTAAATAAACTAGCACACACAGCGCGCGCGCCTTTACACGGTGTTTACTTTTTCTCCTGTCCATATACAGGGTGTCGGATTCGATTTGGACCACTCCAAAGATTATAGTAGATTGGGTCAAACTGAGTAGTCCAAATCGAATCCGACACCCTGTATACAAGTTATATTTTTTATTTATTTAAAGTGTTTTTTTAGAATTATATACATTATAGAATATATACACTACTAAAATAATTATATGTTTAAACTATTTTCAAGAAATAAAACGTTTCGTACATGGCGTCATAAGTTCACCGGAAAGTATATTATGTAAAAGTTGTTATTTCTATCGAGGAACGATTTCAACCTAATATTTAACGAACTCCTTGTGATAAAAGTTTCGCAGGCGATAAAGATTATCACATAAGTGACAACATCAAAGGAATCCGTGAAGATGTAACGATGACAATGTCCGGATGTCGTATGTTCTCTTGACAAGTTTGTAGAAATCCTGAAGCCAACAGAGACTGGGAAGAGTCAACAGTAACTACATAATTCTATTTGTCACCTCCAGACTCTCAGAATTTTCATTACTGGCTGTATTACAATTCATACGTAATATAGCAATAACTTTATTTATGCACATTATCACAAGACACGGTAGTGTCTCGCGCCAATGATTATTTACATCACTAACATCTCAAAGCAACTGTTATCTTGTTTCCTTTTACGAAAATCCACTTTAACATTAATTTACAAGAAGTACAAGTCAAATCCTTGAATTTTTGTCTTGTCGAAACAATTTCTGTATTCGTGAATCTCTACAATTAGAGACTTCAGGACCTACTCATAATCTACACGCATGCATATAATGTTTTATATCCTTGACAATACCGCAGACCTTTGGTATTCTGTTTTAATTTTAAGAGTTGCAAAGCGTCTGCATAAAGAAAAATTAGGCGAAGATCTTCTCTTCCCGCCGTTTCTTTGTAACCACCGTTCCAGGCTTGTGCTGAGCATCTGGATGATTGAGCAATTCCGGTGGACAAGTAGATATTGGGCTAGAGAGGATCGTTTGTTTAAGATCATAGAACAAATGGCTGTCGTCCTTCGTGCAGAAAGAAATGGCGAGGCCGGCTTTACCGGCGCGACCAGTTCGACCGATCCTATGCGTGTAATCTGTAAAGAATGGATAAACAAAAATCCAAATGAATAAACTATTCAAGCTAATTGTCTATTAAGATAGAGTTGATCTTCAATAAGGAATATTAAATCTTTGCAAGCGATCTTTAAAAATAGACTGTAATTTTGATTCATTCTTGACAGAGAAATCAAAAGCATCAACAATCCCACGTATTATTATATAAAAGAAAGACAAAGAACGGTTCAAATAACTTACCCTCGATAGTTTTAGCCATGTCGTAATTAATGACCATTGACACATCCTTGATGTCAATACCTCGCCCCGCAACGTCAGTTGCCACCAGAATGTCCTTGCTTCCGCTCTTAAGAGACGCTAGAGCGTACTCTCGCTGTTCTTGACCCTTGCCACCGTGTAGAGTGCAAGCGTTGTACTAAAATAGAACAAAGCAAAAAGCTATGTTAGATCTTTAGATTTCGTTTAGTGGTTTTTACACTTTTAGTCCCGAATGACGATGAAAGATTTCGGACGTTCGAGAAACCGAATGCCACAAATTGGAATAAGATTGCATCGCAATCACGAATTCATAAACAATCGCATTACTTTCAGATTTAAGTTACATACTCCTAATTTTTCCAAGCCTCTCGCTAAGACGTCCGCGCCCTTCTTTTGATTGACGAATATGATGACAGGCGGCTCAACGCCTCTGCTGAGTATCTCCATGAGTTTCTTTCGCTTATCGGCTTCACCCATTATGTGGACTATCTGCTCGGTGCGTTCTGTCGGCTTACCGACACTGCCAATGTACACTACCGCCGGCCTCCTCAGATACGTCCTGGCAAGTCGTTCCACTGCCGGTGGCATCGTGGCAGTGAACATCACCGTCTAGAGGCGGAAAGTGATCGTTAACCACTGATAAATTAATCGTACAAATTTCATCGTTCTCTGAATGCCTGGCAAATATGAAATGCAAATGACACGGTGTATTTCTTTAAAAAAAGAAAGACGAGCTTGGATAACGCTACAATTAAAATACTGAATTGCTCGCACATCTTTTCTATTGCAATTATTTAGAGAGCAAAAACTAAACGTAAATAAACAAATGTAATAAACTAGAAAACTTTTCGTACTTGTCGGTATTTCTTCTTTGTGTTGTAGTTGGCCAAAAGTTTCTCCTCATTCTCTGCGTCCTCATTATCCGGCTTCAAATTTGTCACAGGCATATACTCCAAAATTTTCTGAACATCTAAATGAATTGCCGTCCTTTTAGTAACGTTTTACATACACAAATGTTAATGAACAAACATCAATATTTTTGAAATAATAGAATTAGCAATTTATTATAGATGCTTGCAGTACCTGGTTCAAAACCCATGTCTATCATCCTGTCAGCCTCGTCGAGTACGATGTAAGTACACTGGTTCAACACGAGATATCGATTTTCTAAAACGTCTATTAATCGACCAGGTGTAGCAATAACGATCTAAAAAGAAAGATTTCTAATTGAATATCCGGCAGTTGTAAGCTTTTAATTCCAGTCAATTTTTTTTTATAGAAATCGAAACTAACAACAATAACAATACATTGCAAAATTTACCTCACAGCCCATTCGTAATCTGAAACCTTGCTCCTCTCTCGACAGACCACCCACCACCACGACAGTTCGAATGCCCAACGGTTGACCAAATTTGTTTGTCTCTTCTTCTATTTGTTGCGCTAACTCACTGTAAACAAAGGAAACCTTTACTTATATCGAATCAAGAGGCTCCTCATAAAATTTTGGTGGTTAATTGATTCATTGATATTAACAGACCAAACGTTGTATTTGTGATAAATAACACCCAAGCGATACAAGGACTAGAGAAGTAATTGGTATATACCGGGTGGGTGCTAGGATGATACTGTAAGGTCCTTGATCTGCTTCCTCGAGCCTCTCGATTTTCGGCAGGCTAGTGATCCACAGTAGTAAAGGAATCAGGAAAGCTAAGGTCTTGCCCGAGCCAGTCTCGGCAACGCCGATGATATCGCGATTCTGCAGGCCAATAGGAATAGCCTGTCGCTGAATGGGCGTGAGATCTTTGTAGCCAACTTTGTCAATGATATCTAGGATCTCCTTTGGGAAGCCGGACTCCTTCCAAGAGCGGATGGGGTCGGGAATGCGACCACCTTTTATCGTAATGTTGTAGTCCTCTCTGAAGATACGCCAGTCACGTTCAGTCATCTCGTTCAAGGCTTTCTCGGACCAATGTCGGTCATCCCACTTTTGCTTCTCCTCCTTACGCTTCACTTTCTTCAACCTCATTCTTAAAATAAAATTACACGATTTATAGTAAACAATTATAGTAAACTAAATATGGTCTATGATAAAAAAAAGAAAACTAATTATTTGAGCGACAAAACTCACTTCTCTTGCTCCTTCTCGGCCTCGGTGCGCCTCTTCTCTAATAGTTCGCCGTAAAACTTGCTCTGATCTCGCTTTTGCGCTTTAATATCGATACCCGCGAGATTGCCTCTACCGAAAAACTGCACCTGGTGCCTCTCCTTGTAAATGTTGTTGTAATCCACAGAGGTGTCCTCCGAGGTGTCCCAATCGAAGACAAACTTTCTGTCGTTCAGCCTCCTGACTCGCCGCTTCTTTTTCACCAGGCCCAGGTACCGTTCTTTGATAGCCTCCACTTCCTTCTCCTTATCCTTGTCCTTAACATCATCGTCGCGCAGGCGTTGTCCGTCTCGCCTTCTACTAACAAAAAATACATTTTTTACACTCTTCTGGCACTCGGAATGGAAATTGTCTTCCAGATACCTGTCTCTGTCGTCCCATTCTCTCTCCTTGCCAATGTTATCGCCATGGGAGAACTGCTTGCGGTCCTCCTCCTGCTGCCTCCTCATCGCCTCAACCTCTCGCTGACGCTTCTCCAACGCCAAAGTCGCTCGTTCCTCCTTGGTGAGAAACTTGGGTTTGGCCCGAGCCTCCTCCTCCGCCTTCTTCTTGGCCAGCAGCTCCTCCAGGCTCAGCGGCTCTTTCTTCGCCAATCTGGCCCTCTCCTCGGCCTCCTCTTCCTCCTTGGCATCGCCCTTCGAGTCTCTCTTCGGGTCGTCCTCGGCGAACGTCGGACTACCCTTGCGCTTCTTCTCATCCTTAGACCTGTCCTTGATGTCCCGGCGGTCCCGCTCGCGCGATCTGTCACGCTCCCGCGAGCGTTCCCTCGACCTCGACCGCTTCCTGTCCTTCTTGCGATCCTTAGATCGGCTCCTGGAGCGCCGACGGTCGCGCCGCTCCCGGTCGCGGTCGCGCTCCCGCTCGCGGTCGCGCGATCGACTCCGCCGCGTGATCTTCTTGTCGTGCGGCATTTAAATTCGAGGTTACTGGACGAAAGAAACCGGACGAAAGAGAACCGACAGTGACTCCAAGATACCTGTCGAATCGAAGGATCGTTAATAAGTCGCGCCAATACACTGGCATTCCAAGAAGATAAATAGTACACGGAGAAAGAGAGCGATCCAGTATTAAGCGATTTACACCTTTGTCTATATTAACTTAATCACACATACCTCTCGTACGCCGCCAAGCGATGAACGCCGCAAGAGCTCAAATTTGCATGAGGTTTATTTCGTGTCGGAAAAATGGCGCCGTTCGGTCACAGTATAACCAGTATGGG